CGGACCTAACCCAACGAGGCCGGAAAGGGAAGCACGCGGCACGCACTTTGATTTGCTGGCCGAGATCTGGCTTGCTGATGAACCTGTGCACAAGTTGAGGGGCAAATGGAGAGCTCATGGAGCAGCTGGAGCAAGTGCACTTTGGCCTCTCCGGGAAATATGTCTTCAAGTGTCATCCAGTGGGTAAATCCCTCAATTGCAATCGCTGAAACCGAACGAGGCGCTAGGCGGAGCTAGGAGGCCGGGTCCTTTGTCTTCCTTTGAAATGCCGCGTGCTTTATTAAAATTTCCATCTTGGCCAGGAGGCGGAGGAGAATGTAGGTCCCTTTGGGGACATTGTTATAAATTCCTTTGCTGAAAAATGTGAAAAATGCGCCATGTAAATTATTTCTGCGTCATTTTTTCCCACTCTCCCCCCGCTTTTATTGTGCATGATAAATTTTTATTGTAATTGGCTGTTGATTTATGGGCCATGGCTAGCATAGACTCCGGGGAGCCGAATCTCGGACCCATACTCGGCCCGATAACAAGTGCCAGATAAACGATTCTCTTTCAATTTGCCATTAATTAGGCGGGACAGCGGGAGCAGCAGGAGAAGCAGAAGCAGCGGGCGTAGCTCCTCCAGAGGCTTAAATCCAAATGGTCGGAGCATAAAAACTAATCGCGGCATTACAGAAATCATCTATGAAATTGCGCCCGCTGATGCGTAACCTGGGCCGCGCCCACCCAAGCAGGAAGTGCAAGGCTGGCATCCCTGGCAAGGCTGGAAAAAGGCCCATATCCAAATCCGCAGGCAAATCAGAAATCAGAAACCCAAAGCCGAGGACTGCCTCATTGTTTGTTAGATGCTCCGCAGTCAAACACCATAAAACTTTATGAACCCACCGAAGCATCCAGAAAGGTTCTGCAGCTCCTGCCCAGAAGTGGCAGATTTTTTAATGCTTTGCGAAAGATTTCATGGTAATTTCGCCGGGTTATAACAATTTACAAATTATGTAATCGAAATTTATTGCTCAGCATAGCTGCTGCCGCTGCTCCTTTATATCCACCTATCCACTCTTCTGCCCCGAGGCCATTTCTGGCAGCTCCTCCATTCTCGATCCTCGACTGGGTGGGCCTGTGCAGCCTGCCTTTTTGGACATGCACAGGTGGCCCTGATGGCCAGACGCTTGATGTGCGCCAAATTTGACTCCCGGCCAGAGCGAACGGAACGAATGCCGGCCAACGAGTACTCAACAAGGATGGCTCCAGATTAGCGGCATTTGAGTTCGGCATAGAACGTAATAATACATTGTTAATATCTGCGCTTTTGATAGCTTCAAATCAGTGTCTGCTGAGTCTAGCTCAAGAATTTAATTCACTTATGAAATATTCTTCATGAAAACTATCTTCATTTCACCCAAGCGGGAAAGTGTACCTTACACTATGGGTAATCGCTTGACAATATACTAAATTTCTCACCCAGAAATTGGCATTTAGTGTAACCAACAAAGGTGCAACTTTTTCCGGAAGAACCATTCGAAATGTTTCCCCCGGCAAGACAGCACAAATTGAGTTATACTAATTCCCCACTCGAAGCCTGTCCATGGCCATTAGTTGAGTTTCCACCTGTGAGACAGTGGCTTAGAAAGTTGGCCGCAGATAAATGGCAATTTGTTCGCATTAACCCAGAGTTACGCCCACAGATTGACGCCCACTCCGGCGCAAAGAGCCATAGAGCCGTGACCCATTAGTTACGGCACTTTCCAAACAAACTCCAATAATGCAGCCATTAAATGCCAACTATTCTGCCATCAAGTGCTTTAGTTTGACATAAATCTCGAGCGGATGGCGAAACTTTTGCCGCTGCCACAAATCTGAGCGCCCTCCATTGCGCGCCCAACGCCGCCCACTCCCGAGTGGCCACCAACTACCAGCCACCCACTCAATCCACAAATCCGGCAATCCACTAGGATCAGTGCTCTGTGTCCTGCGAGAGCTTATGTTGCAGCTTTAATTAACGCCAGGTTTTTCGAATGCCCCCCGACCGTCGTCCGAGTTTGGCCAACAGGTGCGGAAAGTTTTGACCAGCGCCCTTGTTCTAGGCCTCCCCCTTTCAGCACCCTGCTACACTGGGCAAAATTTGAGTTGTATTTAAGAGTTGTTTTTGTGCTTTAAGAGGGGGTGTGTGGTTTTAGTTTACACCAATTAATATATAATTAATTGAATGTTATTTTTAAGTTTTAATAACTTTTCTTTTGTAAAAACTAAATGGAAATATCTGCTTTGCAATTTCCCGCCGTGCATCCATTTTGATGCCCCTCCCAGTGTATTTTTATTTAATTTAGAGTCGCGCATTGCTGGCCAGGACTTTCATGTTGTAATTTCCTCAAATTTACGAGTTTGCTTAGCCCGGATACGGGTTGGGATAGTTCAGGACTCGTGGGAAGGGGGAGGGTCGTATTTTTTTGGGGAAGGCAGAGCGGCAGAGGCAGGATTTACGACTCGGCTTGGTTGGGTTAGTTTCACTGCCTTTCGGGTTTTCCGGAACTCTGGCCTCCGTTCTCCGCTCCGGTCCGCTGCGGCTTGTTAGCGCCTCGACTCTCATTTTATTAGCAGCATCCTCCAGGACCCAGTCCCCCAACCGCCTCTCGTTATCCTTCGCAACCAGATTGCTGTAAATGAGCAACTTTTTGCCCTTAAATCCAACAAACTGTGGGTGTGGCGTTGGCTGTGGGTGGGTGTGTGTATGTGCGAGCTTTTTGGTAATTTCGCATGCAGTTTATGGCTAGGCATAACAACCAAGGCAGCAGCAACAAAAGTCGGGACTTAGCTCCTGCAGCTGTTAGAAGCCCCTTGCATACACACATCTACCCATTCACACCGCCCCCCTGACACACAGGTTGATGACGCCGCTTATAAAAGTTGATCAAAATTATTACTACACCCGGCCAAACATTTCGGAGAGCATGAAGGAGTATGATATCAAGTAGGGAGCATTCGGTTTGGGACAGAATACTGCAATACCCTTTATAATGGAATCTTTCACTTTATTAATTCAACTCATTCGCTTTATAAAAACATTTTAACTTATTTATAGATCTATTACCTGTTATCCCCTCTTTCTAAACAAACTTTCAAACAGACGAGTAAAACTAAATTCGATTTTTTTAAATCAAAAAGCCTGCTCAAGCGATGTACTACGAATACCCTACTCTGCCATAAAGAGGTAAAGAGGTGAAGGTGGCAGAAGCATCACGAGAGCATCTTCCCCCCCGAATCTACTGGAGCGACCCTGTTCCTGGACAATTAGAGTGGGCCATTGCCATAAAGTTATAGAATTCATGGCGCACGTTTTCCACAACGCATTTCGGAGTTTACTTATTACTGCAGTTTATCTGCCCGACGGACAAACTTTCGGCCACGTTTCATTAGCCATATGCTTGGTGGGCGGAAAACTGCCCATTGCTGGATTTTCATTCTGTTGCGTAAGTGTGCTTGGGCTTTTTACGAGTGCACATTCTGTGCGCGATATTAAATCCATATAACGGGGCGAAGGCATCTGGATGGCATACATATATGCTAGTTATAGTTACTCAGGCAGGGCAATGAGCGCGAAAATTCCAATTAATTGCCAAGAGTCGTAAAATGGTAATAATTTTACAGTCCTCGCTGAGCAGCTTGCCAACTCGCTGGGTGGATAATATAAATTTAATTGATCTAATCTCGAGATTTGTTTTAGCAACAAGTTTATTGAATGGAAAGTGCAAGGCTTGAAAGTGAACTGCCGTCATAAAAATGGGGGCAGAGATATTTAGTTTGTTTACATTTGTAACTTCAAAGTTACAAATATAATAAAATATAAATGATAAGAAAGAAAGCCTTTCATAGCAACCGAAACATGATCTCCTTAACTACATGTTACGCATACGCCCCGTAAACTAGGTGAGCCATTGTCCAAGTTACGTATGTAAATGCAATCGATCGCTGGCAAATGCTAATGAAATGAATATTTAATACGCAACGAATTAAACACTGGCCCCCGGCCACCTCTCGCATGCTTGTCGGGTAATTAAAGTAATAATGTTAACTGCGAAACACGCGCGAATCTATGTCTTTTCCGCATTTCGCGGCGTTGCATAAAATGTTGAACAAAGCGCGAAATGGTCGGCGGATCGGATTATTTTGTTTAGGGTTGGGATTGAATTAAAAAATCTCATATGTAAGATTCCAGTGGCCATGGATGGCAATGGTAATTCCGTTTCGCCGACTCCCAGAGCCAGTCACCAAAATGCCGCTTCCGATTCAGCGATCCAGCAGATCCAGGAGCTTCGAGAGCAAAGAGGCTGCGGCGTAAATTGTTTTGTTGGCGCAAAATACTCGAAGCGCTCCAATGAGCAGCGACCGCGCCCCAAGTTTAGGCAGACACTGAGAGAAAATGCTTTCTAAACTGTTAAGTTTTATGTGATAATTATGATAGGGGAGTACCACAAGGAGTAATAATCGTAATGCCACAAAGATGAGAATCAAGAATGTTTATGAATATTTATCTTGGACTTACTACCTAATATTTCAGACATCACCTTTAAGTTCCTTAAATACCTTTTATATATTAAATTGTTGCTCTTTCTATCTCTATTTCTCCCAGTGTTGCAACAAGCAACAAGCTGTAAGTAATAATTAGGCACACGTAACTCTGGACGCGACTGTGGTGCTGCACATGCAAATGTTGCGGCTCCGTGGAGGCTGCAATGCAATCGACACTGCTGCCGCCGCCGCCGCCAAAGATAATGATGGATAGGTGGATGAGAGGGAACTCCATAAGTACGCCACATGCAGCCATGGTGCACTGAACCTGATTACCGCATCCGTATAAAAGCCCCATCGATACCAGCCGGCCCACACAGTGTTGAAAGCGAACGTGCGCCATTCGGTGGTCGGAGTGGACAAACTAAAGGATTAATTAAAGGACCAGTCTAACCGACATCCACGGGAATACTAACAGCATCTACACCAACATAATGACCAATGTGAGTCAACTTAAAGCTGATCTACGTTTTAGTAAATCCAACTCAGACCTAAACACAGTTATTAAGAGTAAATCAGTGAACTTGAATTAAATTAAAACTATTTAAAATTAACTTAAAAAAGAACTAAAAACTTCTTTCAAAAAAGGTGTCATCGCGGAGTCCCTCGATGACTGGTAAACTGTTGGCCATAATGCTCCTGCTGATGGCGACCGGGATACAAGCGCGACGACTTGGTCACCGGCGGCTCATCATCCACGTGCCGGTCAAGGTGAAGACGCACCACCACACCCACACTGTTTACAAGGTGCTCCACGGATCGCATGGCGGCGGTGGCGGAGGTGTGAAGCAAACAGTGTACAAAGTGCTTGGCTTCTCCACACACGGAGGTGGCATTGCCAAGGGCGGAGGAGGAAGTGGTGGTGGTGGTGGTCATGGAGGAGGAGGCGGTGGCCACGGCAGTTACGACTTGGGCGGAATGGGCCACGGCGAAATCACGTACGAGGACATGCACGGATGCGAGAGTGGCAAGGTGATACCGGCGGCCAGGGACATGATTTTCAATCACTACTCGCGACACGGCGAGGGCGATGGAACCACCGAGGATTACGCCGAAGAGCTAGACGACTTCGTAGACCTAAGGGATGGCTGGTTGTGAATAAAGAGACGTGTGCGAAATCTCCACCGATTAATTATAAAATTCCAGGCAGCGGCGATCCCCTCTCCACATTTCCACTCCGGAATTGTCGACGAAGCTTAAGTCTCAACACCGCCGAAATTCCAATCCCCCGGAATTTGTGTCTTTGCCGTTGGCTACCAATTCGCATTTGTATTGTTTAATTAGAAATCAGGGGGCTGGCGAGGATGGGGGATGGGTGGGATCTGCTGGGCTCCACAGGCAGAGACTTAAACTCCTTGCCTTAGTCGCGCACTTGAGGAAAACTTGAAGTATTTGCATAGCTCTCGACTGGGGCATGCGGCATATTTTAGTGCACAGTTAAAAGAAACGAGTGTCAATGGCTGAATGAAGTGAATGGGAAATTCACAGGTCCCCGACCAGTTTTTGCTACTTTAAGGAATTGGCAAGAAATTTATCCGATGATTTGCACGTGGAAGATACTAAATAGTTGGGCTCTTAGAAAACTATTCATTTATTATATATTATAGACTTGCTAAAACGAAACGTTCACACTTTAAAAGGTATATCATTCATTTTGCGTATTTTGAAAAATCTAAGAAAATGTACTTCAGAAAAGTGCAATATTACTTGCCGCTTTTTAGCTCTATCTTGGTCAAAACAAGACTTACAGCCAAGAGAACGACTATTTTGTGCTGCTAACGACCATCACTTACCACCCCTATCACTCGTTTTTCGATTTTGAGAAAATTAATTTTTGCCCAAATTTCGCATTTTTTTAAGGGGTACCATCATCAAAATTTGCGAAAAATTGAAAAAATTTAAGTGTCCCAGACTTGAACGCAACCCGAATGGGAATGATAGCAATCAAATTTCGAGTCCTACGAGATATGACATTCCATGTTTGGACCATTTTTGGCTGTGTAATGAATAAAATACTGATATTTTAGGCTCGAAATCAAGTATACGACCTTTTGACAGCAGAGAGATACGATTTTTTGCCGCTTTTTTAACTGTAACTTTATCAAAACAAGCGGCACGTCTAAAACAATTACTGTTTTATGCAGCTGACAACCAAAACTTAAAACGCCCATACTTACTTTTACCATGACTGTTCTTATTTTATACTGCGAGAACTGAGTTAGTGACTAAAATATTAAAAACCCATTTTTTTGACAGAAATTTTGAATATTACTTCCGGTTTTCCAGCTCTATCTTGGTCAAAACAAGACTTACAGCCAAGAGAACGACTGTTTTGTGCTGCTAACGACCATCACTTACCACCCCTATCACTCGTTTTTCGATTTTGAGAAAATTAATTTTTGCTCGAATTTCGCATTTTTATAAGGGGTACCATCATCAAAATTTGCGAAAAATTGAAAAAATTGAAGTGTCCCAGATTTGAACGCAACCCGAATGGGAATGATATCAATCAAATTACGAGCCCTACGAGATATGACATTCCATGTTCGGACTATTTTTGCCTTTGTAATGAATAAAATACTGATATTTTAGGCTCGAAATCAAGTATACGCCCTTTTCACAGCAGAGAGACACGATTTTTTGACGTTTCTTAGCTATTACTTTGTCAAAACAAGCGGGACCGCTCAAACAAAGACTTTGTTATGCAGCTGACTACCAAAACTTAAAACCCCTATACTTAGTTTTAACATTATTGTTCTGATTTTTGGCTGCGAGAGCTGATTTTGTGACTAAAATATCAAAAACCCATTTTTTGGAATATTACTTGCGGCTTTTCAGCTCTATCTTGGTCAAAACAAGACTTACAGCCAAGAGAACGACTATTTTGTGCTGCTAACGACCAACACTTACCACCCCTATCACTCGTTTTTCGATTTTGAGAAAATTAATTTTTGCCCAAATTTCGCATTTTTCGCAATTTGCGAAAAATGGAAAAAATTGAAGTGTCCCAAATTTGAACGCAACCCGAATGGGAATGATATCAATCAAATTACGAGCCCTACGAGATATGACATTCCATATTTGGAACATTTTTGGCTGTGTAATGAAGAAAATACTGATATTTTGGGGCAGAAAACCACGGCAGACCAATTTTCTGTAAAATTTACGAAAAATCTCAAAAATTTACTTTTAGAACCTGGGACACATTTCGACAGAGAATTAAATTACGAACTCAACGAGGTATAACATTCCATATTCTGACCATTTTTGGCTTTACAATAACGAAAATACTGATATTTTATGGGAAACAATTTACCAATTTCCGAAAACCAGGATTGAGGCTTTTAAAAACTAGAGCGATAGCCAAGTAATGTAATCAGTCAAGTGAGACGGTATATTTTAATCATCTGTAGAATCGAAATGAGTTCCTAATCCGGATTGCCTAAAAACCGATTGATCAATCAATTTAATCGCTGCCAGAGAATCCATCCGAACTGGAGCATCCGATTGGCATCGGTTGGACGGTGCTTGACATAAGGCAGATTGATCACTGGCCGCCCGGCTGCCTGGCAGATGGCTCCAAGAATGATAAGACGAGAACGGATGCATATGCCCCTCGCCGATGCGAGGCCAGGTAAATACAGGTGCCGCCGGTCGCTGAGCGCAGAATAATTTGCGTGTAATTGAAGGCGACAGCGCGTCACGGGTCGGGATGATAAATGCGTCTGCCCGCTGCAGGAGGAAAACCCGATCCGATCGGGTCCCATCCTATAAAGAGACTCGACGGGTGGCCGGTGGCCAGTGGTCGCACTTTTTGGCTGGCGCCAACTGCTCAACTGGTCGGCCCAAATGGATGGGGGCCATTTAAAGGCATTTAGCTGGTAATGACATTTAAGGCCAGCGATATAAATCGCACCACCGCCGCACCGGCAACATTGTTGCAGTGAAACGAACTAAAGCCGCACACGCACCAGCGACGGATGAAGTTGTCGGGCCTGAGCCACGTCTAATCCATCGGACACGTGGTAAAGGCTCAGACTCAACTGGGCGGCTTAAACATTGAGCCATTGCACGCAGGGAAAATGTGGGTGCGAATGATAGTTATTAATCACGATTAATAAAAGGCCTTTGGATAAGTTGATTAGTGAATATTATACAATTTATATTCATGTTAAAATTTTTATTCTTTAAAATATTTTTAAGTCAAAGCCAGCAGATATGAGCAATATATTCATTATTTTATGGCTTAAGTTTTTGGGTCAACTAGGAATTTCTGAAATTTTCTTAATTTCACGACGACAGGCAATTTCAAAAACTAAAGCTATTTATTGCCGAAATCCTTTTTGCTCTGTATGAGCCACTGAGCTGCTTATGTCCACTGATGACGAGCTGAGTCCGCAGAGCTTTGTCCATCAGTGGCTAGGCTTTCGCCCCTCCATGCCCGTGTCCATCTCCGTCTTTCCTGGCTTTATTGGATACGTTAAGCCTCTGCACATATTTGCATCCTGGCTGGGCGAATGGCTGGCGGCAACAAAGCGTAAAACGATTTGGCCAAAACCAAATAGGCAGTGGATCCGGGACAAGTCCGGTATTTCGAATGGGCCTGGACTGGGTATTTGAGTTACCTTTACAATATTTGGCTGCTCTGGCAAATCCCTCCTCCAAATGCTAAATACATTTTGTGTCGTTTGCCGGCATTTGATTTGCTTTTCACTCTCCAGCCTGCGGTCTAAATAAATGTATTGATTTTGGCAAATGGCTTTTGCACAGCCAGGAAAAACCTTCAATCTCTATTTGGACAAGTGTACAACATTTACCTTGCCGGTCAAAAAAACATCTCTAATGTTTCTTTTTTAGATTTAATTCAAAGTTTTTTAAGAATGCTCAGCTTAATTCTTTAATTCTATTAAATTGTAATTCCTTGAGCAGTCAATTCAGTTTCTAATACTATCACTCTTTTATGCCACATATCACATATTTAGACATAAACCCTTAAATTGATTTAAGCTCTTCCCAATCAGCCAAAGGACATTTAAATCTGCAACTCCCTCAATCAACGGACTTTTCCCTGTGTGTTCATTTCGTAATTGAGGCAATCCTTTCGCCGTCCTTTTCCACTTTCACCCTTTCTCTGCCCTGTTTACCCATCGTCTAGCCTTTGATTTTTCATTTTCGCAGCCACAATTTTTGGCCATTTTGCTGTTTGCTTAATTGGTTTCATTAGGGAAATATTCGGTTTTCCATCGGAGCTTAATTTCTGCAACACCCGGCCACTTACCGTCCTTCCTTTTCGCCGGGCGGAGGATGCCAAAAAAACGACGCTCCTGAATCGCACCTGAAAAGGCAGAGTGAAGGGGAAAAGTTAGAAAAAAGTTGGTCTAAAGTATAAACTTTAAGGTGGAAAAGTTTCGACCAGGTGGCTGTGCTGGGAGGGTGAGCGCTTGTAAAGGACCAAGATCCAGTTACACGTGTCGCCGGAGCAAAAACAGCCTGACTAGGCGGCATAATTTCCACAGAGTGACAACTAAATAAATAGAAGAGGGTGCCACCGGAGGAGTCGGGGCAGAATGGCAAAGTTTCTGCTCAGCGGCAAGGATGCGGGCAGCCACTCCGTCTGAGGCACTAATTTTAACACCATTAATTTGCGAGGCAGGACAAGGAGCAGGAGCGGAAGCAGGACTAGGAGCTGGGTTCACAGCCCAGAGATAGAACAGAGAATTTTAAATGAAATGGACACAAGTTTTATTGAATTGACTGGCACCAGGGCCAAGGACGGAGAGGAGAGGATTCGGAAAGGAGCTGCTGCCATGAAGGTCGGGCCGGAAACGGAAACGCATTACTCTGCTCCTTTGAGCGACTGCTCCTGCTCCAGATCCTGTTCTCTTGTTGTCCGTGTGGCCAGCACTTTGCCCCACACGTTTACACGCAAGCTTATAGAGGCCAAGTGGGTGGAGCACAGAGAGAAAATATTATTAGGTTATCTACCCAAAGCTTGTTTATAGAGAAGAAAATGTTCTATCACCTTTCTGAGGAAAGTAACTCTACAGGCACTTAGAAGGTACAATTTTCCACAGTGTTACGATTGGGTGGTGGGCCTTGCCACCAATCAAAAAGAAGTGGCAGCCAACCAGAAGTTGAAGTTGTGGCAAAGTTTTTGATTTCATGATATATTTATGGGCATCCGCTGCTACTTTGGGCCCCATCCAATTCCTTTGAGTAATAAACTCGGGCCCCAAAAGGCCGCTGCAAAGGATGCGGCTTACAACTTTAACTGGAAGTTATTAATTTATTTTATTTTGAGTCCCTCTATTTTCGATTTAAAGTGGCTGCTGCTCGGAAATTGCATGGATGAGGTCTGAAAGTAGGATGATTCAGTGGCTTCTGTGGTCTGGGCCACGTACAAAACCCGCTAACACAGATAGCAATCGCTGGGAATTTATTCGAGTACGGTGTGGTTGTGGATTTTGGTTTAGTGCAGGTATTTTCGAAAATTTCATCTGCAATTGCGCACCCAAATGAACCGATAAGCCGGCACTAATATTCCGCAAAGGACTCGCAGGACAATGGCCACTATCGAGATGGCCATGGGTTTGTTAATGGAAAAAATCGACTCGGCCTGAAATCAATTAAATATTAAATAAACGATATCAGCAAACAGCAATTTCCTTCTCCCTCCTTCCATGCCCTCCCAGACCTCAAACATTCGTGAATCCCACGGCATTGAAGAGAAATGCAAACACAATTGCGAATGCCCGGGAAAACTTTATGAGCCAGCGTAATCCTGGCAATTATCTGCTGCCGTCTCTGCCCCGCGTTATCTCTGCCTCGCTCTCTTCGTGCAACGGACCTGGACAGGAGCAAACATGATCTCCATATTGCATGAAAGTATGAAATGAACCATTGAACTACACATTCAGGGTACACTGTAAGCCAATTAGGGCATGTCCTGTACCTGATTTAACTTAATTATTAAGGGAAAAGCTGTGATTAGTAAATCAATTTCTTATCAGTTTCTCCCTTTTTATAGCTTTTTGACTAAACTGAACTCTGGTCTGCACATTTGCTTTGAGTGTAGGTGGACTACTAAGCGAGGTAGAAAGGAACGTGTTGCTGCATGGACATTAAATTCAGATGAGAAATGATTTGAACAGGTGCTGCAGTGGCATCATCGCAAGGAGCCAAGGAGAGCAGAAGGAGAAGGAGGAGGTGGATGGATTGAGGGAGCTTGGCAAAAAGACTAATTATGTATTCATTAAAATGGCAAACGGCACAGGGATGAGGGATGCATGTGCCCGAGTACGAATGTCTGTGCGGAGCATCTGCATCCTGGGCTGCGACTCCAACGGCAACAGCAACTGAAAGTACTCCTGCCGAAGGGTTGCAAAAGGTGAGCAGCAGTCATGAATGCATTTGGTTGGAATATATTCTGCATAATGGCCCCAGTTTTTGTGTGTGCTTGCGGGTCTGTTCTCACATTTTGATTATATCCAACTCGACTTGATAACCTAATATGGAATGACGAATGTGTGGGCCCATCCGCCCACTCCGCCGCCATGGATGAAATGCCCGGGTAATGATTCCTAAATACACACATTTATCATATTTGCCCGAGTTTCCTTTAAATTGAGTTGGCAAAGTCTGTTAATGTATGGAGAGCTGGTTGAATTTCAGTTTTAGTTAGTAGACTAAACTAGTTCGAGTTTTATGGGAAATTGATGAGGTATTTGCCCACCTAATTCTTATAACTTAAGCAGTTTAAATAAATCAATTTCTTGCTTGGTTGGTATGCAATCTACTTTATTTCTGTTAAAAATGAATAGTTAATTATCTAAAAATATCGATTTGTTCTTAGTTCTTTCCATTGTTCTTAGTTGTTTTTTCGGTCAGGATCTTTTTCAGGATTATCAGTTGGAGAAACCACCAAAGATGCCCTTGAAGAAGCGGTAAATGGACTTGGGAATCTCCACGGCAAACAGAACGGAGCTCTCTTCTTCCCCCTGGACAGCAGCTGGCTCAGCTGACTGGGATCGCTTACCACCCGCCAAAGATTGCTTCTGGAACAGTTTCTGTTGCTCGCTGAGATGGCTTAGAATCAGCTGCTGGATGGCAGCCTGCTCCTTCTGGACTTGGCTCAGACCACTGTTGGCAAACACCTTAATGGGCTGGCTTACATGAACATTGGTGGCCTTGATCAGATCATTAATACTGATGCTACCCGAAGAAGAAGAAGACTTGGCATGACTAAATTCTTGAGCCGGAACCAGGAGAGGAAGAGCAGCCAGGTTTACAGGCAGCAGTACATTGGCATCTCCCTTTTGACCATCTCCGGAAACCTGATTAGCCAGAGGATTAGGGATCAGGTAGAAATTGGGCTTTTGAGGCTGCTGCTGATGCTGCTGCTGTTGCTGCTGCTGCTGCTTCTGTGAGTCCTCAGAAAAGGCTCGGAACTTTCCAAAGTACTGGTACTCCACGGTCTCCTGGCCTCCAGCAGTCTGATTCACCACCTGAACCTGCTCCGGGTTCTTATTAACGTAGAAGGGATTAGGAAGGAGAACCAAGCTGAGACCCACAACCTTAGGGAAGTCAGTGAATGGATTGGGCAGGAAGGGAAACGGCTTGGTCTCTTCGTGGATGTGGGTGTGATAAGTCACATTACCCGTGGAGTTGGTAGTTTGATTAAGGTTAACATAAATGGGTTGCTGCTCCTGTTTCTCGAACGGATTGGGCAGGAAGGGGAAGGGGAATCCGGGCTTCTTCTGGTTGGGATAGTAGTGGGTGTGGTTGTGGATGTGGTTGGTCACATTCGAGTCCGAGGTATTCACAGTGGAAACGTATTCCACCTTTGGGTACGATTGGAACTTGTTGAAGTAGTTCTGATATTGGTTGGAGGCCTGAGATCCGTTAAGCACTTGGACTTCCTGATACTTAAAGATCTTGTCCAGATCTTGAACAGTTATCTGCGGGTACTGGTTTTGGTATTGATTTTGGTTTTGGCCGGGCTGTTCGTATATAAAGCGGATCTGATTGTCGCGGCCATGGGCTTCCGGATGGCTCTCTTCTTCTTTGGGAAGTTCCTGATCCTTGGGTATGTCATTAGAAGTGGGTTGCTTCTCCCCGATGGTAGCAGATGGGTTGATGACGTTACTCAGATGGGCTTGGGTTTCCTGCTGTTCTTTGGTCACGGCTGGGACATTCTCTACGGGCTTGGCACTGATGAAGCTAACTAGCTGGGGCTGGGTTTCCTGAACAACTTGAGCACTGACGGAGTTGGGCTCCTGAGATTGTGGCTCTTGGTTTTCTGTAGCAACTTCCTGCTTCGATTCTACTGGTTTGATTCCTTCAGAAGACGGGTTGGCCGGAGGATCCTGAGAATTGACCGAAGTACTGAGCTGAGGCTGGTCTTTCTGGGTCTCCTTAGTATCTTCCTGTTTAACTTCCACGGTTTTCGTTTGTTCAGGTGAAGAGGCAACCACCGGAGTCTTACTATCCTCTACCACTCTGCCCTGAGTAGTCAGTAGAAGGCCAAGAAGAACCAGAAGTCGTAGAAATTGCTGGAGGAGAGTTTGGAAGACCACTTTGTAATTGTGCTGACCAAAAACTCCATTTCTCTTGGTTGACTTACCATGATGAGGGTTTCAGTTGAACTGTGCCTATCCAGAGTATTCCCTGGATATTTATACTAGCCGGGACATAGGTCACTTACCTAATCTCTGCAGGAAATGTCCACCCATCGATCAGCTGCATTCATTTCAACTATCTCCCGTAATAACCCGAGGCACTTTGGGTTCTTTTGCTATTATCGCTGCGATTTGGGTGATTTGTGTTTGGTTCACTTCACTTAAGAAGGCGCCAGTGGCAGGAATATCGGTAAAAATGGAATTGCACTCAAGTTATATTGTGGCAGTGCTATCAGTTGCACCCCTCCCCTCCCCCCGTTCTGTTCCGGGTTTATTTCGTTCCTTTTACGTGCAACATGAAAATGCCATTGTTTCCGAGGCGCACAAACGGAAATCTATGACTCGCTTTTCAATGTTTTTGCTCGATGGAAAAATGCATGGGCGAGTGCAAAAGACTGTCGTCTGTGTGGAAAGTGAGTAGCAGCAGGAGCTTAAGGCTAAAGCGATGGAAAACGGCGGAAAGTGGGGGAAAACCGGGTGGGAGTGGGGATTGGGTGCTCCGGGTGCAAGTGCACATCAGCTGCATATTCATGGCAAGAGCTTTATCTTCGGAACTTTGTCTCCGCCCCATTTCCCTGCCCCATTGACATGTCGCCAGGTGAGCGATGAGTCCTACCTGGTCATTGACATGACAAGTGAAAGAGGAGAGGGAGAAACTGGGCAGCAGGAGACGGAGCCCTTCATACATCTCCTGCTGGGCTTTGTAATTGAATTGCCCAATGCATAGCTCGGATTTTTGGCATACTCCAATTTGATTGAAGGTTTTTGTCGTTGACAGGACTTACCCACTGATTTGAATCGATTTTCGAGCTGGTCAACGAGGAATGGACGAGAGGATGTTGGAATACTTCTGATTGCGAATTACAATAATTAGGAAATACTACTATAACCGAAATGCTGAATCGTAAAAAGGCAATCCCAAAAAGAAGCCAAAAACCAACCAGAAAAATCTGAGTTCCCTAACCCACAAGAAAGTCTGACTAATCAGGTACTTCAGTACAGATTTACCTTAATTTCTTTTCAGACAAGGTGTTGATTTCAGCTCAGTTTCATTTGCCCAATTTCATTCATGAATAATTTACACCTGAAAGTACAATCAAGGTGCAATTATTTTCTGTTTCCGACAATGGAAAGTGTGGCTGTTTCCTCATTGGGTTTTCTTGTTTTTTCGCCACTGAAGAAAACTAAAATCTAAGCACTTGCCAGTTGAAAAATTCAAAGAGTGCAGATGAACAGGGAATTGAAGCCCAGAAGTATTGGAATCCGGGGATCCTGAACCTGAAGTTGAACCTGAAACTGAAAATGAGGCTGGAGTTGCTGCTGGGCCGAGAAATTGTTTTGCGCAGCGGCAGATGAGCTGTTGAAATTGCAAGTGCGGCACTTGCTCAATTTTTCATGAACCTCCCACTATTCGATTCCAGCATCTCCGTCGGTGGAGCAATATGGGAAGGATTCGACTTTGGGTTACCTCGAAGGTTATTCACCGCAGTTACCACTATGAAATGTGCAGTAACAGTAGGATTTTCGAGAAACTAAAGGAATATTAGTTTAGCTTAAGTTTTAACACATATTTGCTTTCTCTAAGTTTATTGCTTAATAAAATATGTAACACCTTGAATGAAAATGTAGCTAATATACCTGAAATACCCTCTCGTCAATGAGCTCCTCCAGCAGCTGAAGACGTTGAAACTAAGACGAAGGAATTCGCCTGAGCCGCAACCCACACAAGCTGAGCCCAAAATCGCAGCTTTGGATGCAAAAGGAGCAGAAGTGGACAGCAGAGCCCAGAGGGGCAGGTTCTGGGAAGGGGGATCTGTGAAAAGGCGAAATTAGCGGGCAGTTCCCTTGGCTTCATGGGCACCCAGCATCCAACATCCAGCACCCAGAATCGAGCATCGTGGCCAGACAATGAGGCGAGCTGCGGCCCTTGACTTGGCCAACTCCCAAGACCCCGGATCCGAAGGCCCACGAAAATAATAAGGAATGAATGTAAATAAATGGTGCTTGGGGTAATGGCAACGAATGGACGACAAAAACAGAAACCCCAAGAGGGGCGCAGGGGGCCGGGTGACGCCCAAGGCCAAGGCAGCATCATCATCATGGTCAGCGAGATAAGCCCGGGCCTGGATCGGTGTGGCAGATGCAGTTGCAGGCGAGGGTACGTAGCACGGCAGCACACCACAGTCGAGGTAGAATTAATAGTACTCAATATTATAAAAAGTTGTAATATTTAAATAAAAGCTTTCAAATGAAATTAAAAACATTTTAACATCAATTTTTTTTTTTAATATTCTTCACATTCTATAAAAAGAAGAGGTCAGGTTAGCCAACTCCTATTTTCAGAGCCGCTGCTGTGCCACAGGAGATTCTTCTGGCTGAGCTCCTCCGCTCTTTTCTCCTGCTTTTTTTGGGCCGAACTCTTTCATTTTGGGTGTGTGCAGTGCAGCGGCGATAAGATCAACGTGTGAGCCTTTGCCAGCGCTGTGGCATCTGCAGCAGGTGTTTCGCTCTCAGGTGCTGCCACACAATATGGGTAACAAGTTGCACCATCCTGGACAAGTTTATCGCCACATAATTCACACGGAGCCCTCAGCCGGGGAGGCCACATCCGAATTGATTGACTCCCGCTGGGGAGTGGGAGTGGGAAAATGGAAAAATCAAATAGCCTGGAGCGGGGAGCAGGATCTACCTGCAGCACAACACTCAGCCAGGACCACGCACCACTAGGCAAATATGGCAGGCGACACAAAGCACTAGCACATCACACTATCCCACCATCCCAACATCCCATCATCCCACATTCATCACATATGCATGCCGGTGCCATCAAGATCTGGCCATCATCGCCCGTCCTCGTCCTCGCTTAGAATTCAAAACATTTCAGACAAATTGGCGTTGCTCTTTGAGCCCCAATGTGTGACAAAATGGAAGGCAAACAGACCGGACCAGGATCCCCGCCAGCCTCCATCGTGCATCCTCCATCCTCCGGCTGGACAATACAGAAGTGCAGCGGTACTCCTCGCCCTTGTTTAATTTATGCCAAAACATTTCTGAAGCGACGTTGACGACGTCATTTGGCTCACATTGGCCCACAGCAGTTAGCCCTGTTCTCTCCAGATCTGGCCTGGGATTGAGGTGTCACTTGATATGCAATAAATAAGCTGCTGGGAAAAGTGTTAACGAGCCTGTCGGGGCAAGAGGTGGTCATAAGTGCTGCACTGTGGGAAATCTAGTAGCTTAAGTAGTTTAAGCTTAATGGAAGATGCATTTCAGTATCGTAGTTTACTAGTAACAGAAAGTAAGATATTTCCACTCCTCATTAACTTTAAACTTTGAAAATAAAACCTAAAATAGGAATTACAATACCAATTAGCACCTCTTTCATTTTCGCTCAGTGTACTGGGGAAGCCTCTGCCGAGGGCCTTTGGACTCCGGAGAGAGCTACTTTTGTGCTGTCTGTTTTTCCAGCAGCTTGCAACGCCTTGGCGCCACAAAATGAACGCCATTCATGGGGCAACGTGCAACGACAAGAATGTGACCCATTTTTAGCACCAGTAGCCATTCTCACCTCCACCTCCCCAGCCCGCTCTTCCCCTTCATAAAACCCCAACCGAGTATGCTGTTGTTTGTCTAAATGTTTGCCCATATATGGTACATCCAGCTATATAAATATGTGAACAGCTTTTAGCACCTTGCCCCCGCACTCGAGTGGAGTTCTCAAGTGGTCGGGGCGACAGTTGAACGTGTCCCATTCCCGGTCGTCAGCTCGAAGTTCCCAGCGGCTGCCGGAGATCCCCCGGAGAATCACCCGGAGCACGTGCGTCCGCCAGACAATGGGAGCTTAAGAAACATCTCCTCTCGACCCGTCAGCTAATGAGGGAATGGGTTTGGGGACTCCAGTTGCTGCTGCACTGCTTCTTTTTCAATAATAATTCCCTTTGGGTTCGAGCGGCAGGCGATATTTTCTTTATTTTTTTTCGCTGCTTCATTGTTGCTGCACAGAGGAAAACTGGGCTTTACTTTAAAGTTAAATTTTCTAAACAATTTGCATTTTTTTCTAAGTTTTCTAGTTCTCAAAATTGATCTGATTCAGTAGTGATATTTATCTAAAGATATCAATTGGTTGTTTATTTTTAGATGCAAATTCGAACAGCTCAAAAGAGCGAAAAGAAAAGTAAACGAATTTCTTTATGAAGAACATCATGTGAATCAATATTTTTGTGTGTGCTCTTCGCAAGTCGGGGCCATTTTCAATTAAGCAAAATTAAAAATTTATTACGAGCCACGACCGAAGGAAAACAAAGGATCAGGAGGAGGAACAGCAGCGGAGGGCAGGGCGAAAAGCAAATTGCAGAGCAACTTGGGGTAAAAGAGATGTTTATGTTTTCATTAAAAAAAGGAGAGAAACCGAACCAGGTTGGGATTTGGGATGGGGGATGCGGAATGGGATGGCAGCCCAGTGCGTCGGTGGATGATTGGGCTGCTTCGACCCAAAGGCGTCATCGCTCCCGTCCGTTATCCTTTCGCCCGTTTTATTTGCGCTGAAGTTTTAATCATTGGAGTGACATTGACAGCCAGTGGAAAAGTGGTGGCATCACTTTTTATTCGCCACTGTGCCAAACGGAAATTTCCGTCGAAGGGCCAACCAAATATTTATGGGTTTTAAGTGATTATTGAATTTGATAGGCGGTCGCCGAACGGGAAACTTTCATCTCGCCCAGCAGAAGGATATTAAAAAAGTTTTTCATAACTCTTTGCAAAAGTTTGAATGGCGCACAAATAAACGGGTTGATAGATAGGATTTCGATGGGGTTACTTGATTAATGGCGATAAAGTCAACTCAGGGCTATCTGAAACTGTTTTATGAGCTTGAGAGTTGCTTAAAACTTATTAATTTGATTTGATAAATGGGTAATTTATAGGTATTTATAATGTTATCATTCTTCTTAAGCAGAAAGCAGCTAAAAATGTAACTGAGATATAAATCCATTAAAAATAGTTACTTACTTACACTCTGTTAATGTTT